ATTCGGTGTTGATTCGAAACTGGATCTTAGAAAACGAGGAAAAAGAAAGTGATGATAAAGAATTATTCGAGAGAAAGTGAAGTGATTATGAAGAGAGAGAGAGAGTGAGAGAGAGAATGGATAGAGAGAGTGATGAGAGGGAATGAGTTATAATTATATGACTGTAAAATTATTTGAGTCATGTAAGATACGACTATATATACACTAGTATAAAAAAGACTTCATATATATTAGAAAGTGCGTTCAGAGAAAACTGCAAACAACAAAATAATGTTTTCTGAAGTTGTAATCTTTCATACTTTGTTTTTGAAAAATTGTGCCCAAAAAACACTATACAAACATGTTGTTTAGTTTTTAGACAACAAGTTTTGATTTTAAAAGGAAAAAATGATTTCGAGTTGCATGACCAAACAGAAGTGACTGCAAAGTTTCAAACTACTAGGAGTTGGTGTTTTCATCTTAAGACTTTCTCAATATTCCCTTTGAGTTGGGATTTACTTTACAACTTTGCAAGGATGATTTACACTAATATTGATATATAGGTGGTGGAAAGACATGGATTTTGCAAGGAAGCTACCTTTTGCAAGAGACAGAATAGTGGAATGCTATTTCTGGGGACTAGGGGCGTTTTTTGAGCCTGGTTATTCCCTTGCCAGGATGAAAATGGCCAAATTAGTTGCTATCCTCACCATGATTGATGATATTTATGATAGCTTCGGTACAATTGATGAACTAGAGCTCTTTACTGAGGCAATAGAAAGGTCTAAACTCACTTCATATTCTCACACCAAATACCTGATCATTGGCTATGCAAAGAAAGCGGTAAGCTGACATCTAATTATCAATGACAAGCCTACAAGCGAAGGATTAGATTCCTCCCGTAAAGAGCGGCATCAATGAAGGAGACTTGACCCACCCTAGCTTTTTTTTTTTTTTTTAATATAGTGGTTTTAATTTTAATGTAGTATCATAAAAAAAATTTAATATAGTAGGCATGTATATAAATTAGAATTGACCTCCTTTAAGTTACTAGTTCTATACATTTCATTGGGCCAACTATTTAGATTTTAAAAAATAAAATATTCAATTTATTAAGTCCATAAACACTATTATAATCTTGATTTAAAAAAAAAAAAAAAAATTTGCCCCCCACCAATAAATTCTGGCTCCGTCACTTGGCGCCATATATTTTTTTTGTACATTTTTATTAAAGACAAAATACTCGAGCTCCACATCGTTTAAATATAAAAATAACTACAATATATAAGAGTATTAAGCCACCCTACTTAACAGGTTGGCATTTTATCATAGAAGCCTAGTTCCCTTATAAAGTCAAATTCCACTGGTAAAATATCCGAGTCACACATTGTATATGAGTATTGGGCCACTCTATTTCTCTTATAAAGATCAATTCTTCTACCTCGACTTTTCTTATAATCTGTCCTCAAATCCTAAAATATTATACCTGCATTTTAAGGTTATCAAACTCTAAAATCTTCTATTTTGAATTGTATCATGGTCAAAAAAATAGAAATAGAAATGACAAAAAATTGAAAAAAAAGGTTAGCTCATTAACTAATCTGCTTGCCTTTTTCAGCTGCAAAAGCAAGTTAGAGCTTACTTGGAAGAAGCGAAATGGTTACACCGACAACAATGGAAGAATATATGCTCATTGGACTTCAAAATGCTGGGTCATTTATGCTGATAGCAATGACTTTCATTGGAATGGGAGACATAGTCACATTAGACTGCATGAATTGGATAGTTGGTGATCCTGAGCCGAAGATTGTAAGGGCTATGTCAGTAATTGGCAGAGTTATGAATGACATTGCCTACCACAAGGTATGATGAGATCGAAAACTAAAAGTAAACTTTTTATGTAAACTAAAAATACATGGTACAAAAAAATCTAAAAGTATATGGCACGAAAAGATTAATAATTCTTACAAGTATTATATCAATTTTGTCCCTAAAAGTTTTATTTGGATAAAATTACTCCTTAACTTTACGTTTATTTCCGCAATTTCAGTCCCTGACCACAAAATTCACAATGAATTTTTATAATTTAACAAAGGTAATCATAATATAATATGGCCCTATTTGAAATTTTACAGAAATAATCACATGAAATGCAAAATGCTCTCTTTATATTATCGTTAAAAAATTATAACATTATGCACATTATATAGATTTCCCTAAAATTTTTAGTTATTATAAAATAGAGATTTGATCATCTTTGTTATAGATATAAAGCCAATTTTGAGGTTCGTTATGGAAAAACAAAAAAAAAAAAAAAAGCTGGCCTTCATGATTTTTACACGTACCCTGCATGCATGTTTCGTGTTGACGCATGCAGTCCGAGAAAAGGAAATCCGGGCATAGAGTTGCATCAGCTGTGGAGTGTTACATGAAACAATATGAGACAACAGAAGAAGAAGCTATTTCTGAACTTTGTCAACAAGTTACCGATGCATGGAAGGACGTTAACAAAGAGTTTTTCCATCCGACCGACATCCCGATGCCCCTGCTAATGCGTGTTCTTGATCTTGTGCGTGTCAATCATGAGATGTACAGAGATGGAGATGGTTTTACAGACTCGATTTTGCTCAAAGACTTGATAGCTTCTCTCATCGTCGACCCTCTATCCGTCTAAGTTGCAATCAAAAAATGCGACAGTCTGGACTTTGGTTTATTTTGATGAAGACCTACGTACTGAAAGTCTGGAGCTGGTTCTTGCCATTCTGTTCCCTGAAATCAGAATAAGAATAAAGTAGCGTCCTAAACTAGCTTGTTTACTTTTTTGTTGTTAAGGGCTGTGTTTTTATCAAAATAATGCTTTGGAACATTATCGAGTCTCTTTTTTTTTTTTCACACCTTAAAAGTAGAATTCTCTCTTTTTTTAATCCTTATATTATTGCAAGAACAATATTATCATTCTATTATTTCTTTCCCGTTTTAATAAGCTGTGATTAGACCACTGCTAACCAGTTTCTGGAAGCATCGGTACCAAATAACACCAATGACTGAATCAGCTGCACCTTATATATATGTAAGGCGCCGCAGCTTGAAAATTGTTAGGCTCTAGAGAAATGTTAACTGAAATAAAATAATATTACTTAATAGAAGAATAATGTCTATTACAAAAGCAATTCTCGAACAAAATTTTTAAGATTACAAATTTCAATTTTAATTAGGATCTTTAAACTTTTTATGAGACCTCATATTATTCTTGTTCAGTCAACTGTAACTTTTATCTAAGAGTTTACTGGCATCACAGGAATTATATGAGCGCAAGCTCAGTAAGTAAACCATAAATAATTTTCACTTTTAAAATACTTTACACATTTAGAGTCCTCTTATATAACATTATCTTATGTTACCTGTCCTGTCTTGAAATCTCATATTCTACAAGAAAACAATTGGATAACTTCGAAAACAATTCATAGTTCATCATAAATTTTGACATTATTATACATATAATTAACTCTTTAAAACCCAAGCTAAACATGAGTATTAGATCAAGTCCAAACACCTCGGAGGAGGTGGTGTTTTCGATTGCCCCCGGCGGTTGTGGAGGGTAAGTTTCACTTGCAGTTTGACGCAGTTTTCTCAATCTCATTGCATCTCCTTTAAAGTCTTCTGCTTTTCTAGATAGTGCTCTCGCCGATTGCATCCTCACTAGAGTTGTTTGATGGCGTTTCATGGGGGCTTTTATGTTTATTGTGTTTTTTTTTTTTTTTGTAGTGTGTTTTCTTTACTATAATAATTGGGATTTTCACCGCTTTGTCTTGGTTTTTTTTTTTTTTTTCTTTTTTGTTCGTTAGACTGGTGTCTTAGCGTTATTTGGTGTTGCTTAGTGCTACAATGTTTTTTGTCCATCAATCGCTCAAAAGCTTATCTTGATTGCCCTAGGTGTGCTGATTTAAGTGTGCCGAGGTATTCTTTCGTTTTCGGGCCTCAGGTGTACGTCCGTTCCCCCACTGAGTCATTAGCCTTGTATTGTGATCGTTGTTACTTTATTTTTATTTAAATGACAAAAAGAATGATGTTAGCATTTCTCCAATACCTTATCAAAACCTTATCTATGAGAACCCAAATTTAAAAACCATGTGCTAAGCTTACCAAACGTACTACAATACTCTTGATGAAATTCTCCAACACCTTATAAAATTCTTGATGATTGGCATCCAAGTAACGGCTCTGCATTTACAATACTCTCGCCTTGCAAGGCTGTGTTCCACTCGGTCAGTTGGGAACAACTGATGCGACGATTCATACTTCCCAAATTGCAGCTTGTTTTGCGAGAGTTTGAGGTGAATCCAGCAAATCAGAAACTCGATCAATTTAGTTGGGTCAAAACTTGGGCTTGTGGTGGAGATGTTTGAGAGTTTTTTCTTCCCCAAGTGGCTGCGGGTTCTGTATCACTGGTTATGTGCAAACCCAAACTTTGCTGAGGTGATAAAGTGGTTACGAAGGAGCTTCTAATTGTGGTCTGTGAGATGATGAATCGAACCTGGTTTGAAAGAGAATCTTTAGTTGTGTTAGAGCTGTTGAGCAAAGAGTTTGAGGCTCAGCAAAAACGCATTTCAACAGCAAGCTACTACGAGCAATATGGATGGTCCAGAGTTAAGCACCAAAGAAGAAGTGGAGGCATACGCACAACAGCACAACGTGCATTTTATGCCGAAACTTGGGAGGATTGTAAATTTAAATTTAAATTGAAAAACAAAAAAAGAAAAGAAGAACGCGAACGGATTACAAAATACAAATCACCAATGCCATCTCCGAATCATTTTCAAAATAATACTAGTGTAAATTGTCTAAATAAAAGGTTACCTTCAAAAAGAATTATAACCTAGCACCTAACAACATCTTATTAATTTGTAAAATTTAAATCCCGCACCACAAGTTTAAAAAAGAAAAAGGAAAAAAAAAAGAAAAAAAATAACACAATCAGAATTATATGTTGCACAACAGCAACAACTTCTATTGACCTGTGCTTGGAAATTAGAGACTGGATTTTACATATTGCTATTAAAAAAATCCAATATTCAATCAAACATAAAAGTGACAGCATTCACCAACAACGTGACTCTTAATCTTGCTGAACTTCTATGGACAACGTTCACCCAAAACGTTAATTGACACAACTGACAACCAATTCTTGATGCTCTAAGCATTAGCAATTTTGGTGACAATGATGGAGGCAATTTTGGTGACAACCAATTCTTGATGCTCTAACCATTTCTTTTTCTGGACTGCTGTCTGCTGAAGTCGGCGAATGACTTGGAACAACTCCGAGGAACGAAGGAACTGTCTACATGGTGTGTGCGACACATCTTTGCCAATGAAAACAGAGCTATCTTAAGAGGTGACTCGTTTAAGGCATCACTCTTACTTGCATTCAGAGCTACTGCAGAACAGTCAGCCACCAGCTTCAGTAAAGCCTGAAAATTATGACTCCTCAGAGTTAAAAAGACTTGCAGATCATTTACAACTTATCTATGTAGTGGGGAACAAAGTTGAAGGAGTTTGAGAAATTAACAATCCGAGAGCATAATTGAGCAATTCCGTGATTTAATATGTGAAAGGGCAAGACGACATGTCTACAAATCCGCATGGCTCCTTCGGATACAATGTCTTCTCAAAGCTCGTTGGAGTTGCGAATTAGATTGCCTAATGCACCCGCAGCATTTCAACTTAGTCTTGTCTTCTTCAGCTGAAAGCGACAAATTCCCAACCTGTGGTATAGATCTTCTAAGCTCTCCGTGCAAAGCAGCATTTCCAATCTGCACAAAGAAGCCACGTATTAGAAGGCTCGTCTTTGGTTTGCCTTGGGTTTCGGTGCATAAAATATGTCAATAAATTCCTACAGCAACATGTAATTTAAGAGCAAGAAATTGAAATGTTTTCATCTTCCATAGCAACTTAAGTATAGCGAAGCATGCAAATTTTCGCGTGTGTTTATCTGGATCATAGCAAAGGTCGTTCAGAAGGCCAATGATTTGATATCTTGCATGTAACGTGAAATTCAAGCATAATCGCAATTAAGCCAGCATCCTTATTTCGAATATGGACTGTAGGAAATTCAAGCATAATCGCAATGATTTGATTTGATATCTTGCGTAAATGCATTTAACAGAGTGAGTTTTATATCTTCACAAAACTTCTAAGCGTTAAAATGGTTTAGTCCAATGAAAATAGTCAACTTTTCATTACTTCCCAGTGTATTATAAGAGTAGGACTGTAGGAGCTATGCTGACACATATTGTCTAGAGCATTATAGGCTTTTTGCACATATGTGGGATCTTCATGAACAAGAAATTCTTTCAGGTGCTCCAAAATTGAAGCCCTATTGATGAATTCATAGAGTCCCTGTACACCATAAAAGCCCAATTTTACAGTTTGGCAATTTTTTTAATTTCCTAGCACTCCGAAAGTAGAAATGATCCTCTACACAAGAACAATTATGGAAGTGAAAAAGAATAATGATAGAAATAAAACGCTAACCTTGTCCATCCGAGCAAAATCTGAGACAATCATTAGAGCATCTGGCAAGACTTCTTTCGGGCTTGAATAATCAAGCAACCTTCTCCACTGATTAGGATCCAACAGGCCTTTACTCACAACTTGAACTGCAAGAGGTTGATAGCTTATCATTTTAGCAATGACGGCAACGCGCCTTCCAAATCTTCTAACTCCATACGCTCCAAATATCAAAGAATAACAACAGGCACTCACACCTGGAAGCTTCAAAAGAAATGAAATGAGAAACATATAGGTCTGTTGCTACTATAACGCTTCAGGACTTGAAGCAAAACCCAAACATCAAAAATCAGATATTTCTAGTTTTCCTCAATAGCATTATAAAGTAACACAAATTAAGAAACCCAACAGGAAGGTACGAGTATTGAATGGTTGACAAGGTTGTCATGAACAGGCGTTTTAATCATGCTGTTCTAGTGCAGATAACCCGTACCAAAATTAACATGGCCATGAAATGAAGGAAAAGAAAAATTCCACAAAGTAGAATGCATTTTGCACCTAGATTTTGTATCAGTTCTTAGTACTGATGAAACAACCTTCGAATCAACGTCTAACCTCCAAAATGATTTTAATATACTTTCCTAAATCTTCCTCGATTACTTTCACCGTGTCCTTATCGTCCATGCACAACCTCCCACCTAGTGAACCCATTATTTACAGAAGCAGTAGCTGATGGTAAGCCTTGACCGTTTAGAATAGAGAATATAAAATTAATAATAATAATAATCAAATGAGCTCAATATTGTATACTATAAATAAATGGAAATGAATCTGTAGTAGTAGCTTCTTCTTTCAAGAAAATATTCTATAAAATAAAAAATTATAACTATCTAGCTGCCAAATTCACCACCCCCATTGATGAAAATCAAGCCTTCTCACCTATATTTGCCACAATCCCAAAATTCTCACAAGGAAAAAAAGTCGCCCTTCTAATTCTACATATATATTTAAAGCACATAGTCTTAACTACTCTTCAATGGTCATCAAATAACAAAAAAACTATGTCCAAAACATATGCATCTTCTTTCATTAGCCCTGTCAAATATTGCAAAACTCCATGAATTTCACCAGCATTGGGATGAGACTTATCCCCTGCAACATAAATATGTGTCTTTTGTCCAACCACAATCCAACTACATCCAGGCAACTTTGCAAGCCCTTTTTCCTTCATTGCCATTCTCAAAGAGTTGACCTCATTCCAGTTTCCTGATGCAGCGTATATGTTGGAAAGCAGCACATAAGGTGAAGAGTTTTGGGGATCCAAATTAATGAGTTTCTCAGCTGCCCGCCGCCCTCTCGAGTCATCTCCATGTAATCTGCAAGCACCGAGTAATGTGGTCCAAATCATAGCATCCGAATCGAAACTTAGCTTGTAGATAAGTTCCTCTGCCTCTTTAAGGAAACCACATCTGCCAAGAAGATCGACCACGCAGCCAATGTGATCAACCCGAGGCCGAACACCATAATCATTGATCATAGTGTTAAAGATATGTCTGCCTTCGGCAACCTTTCCTGCATGACTACACGCAGTGAGAACGCCGAGGAATGTTACATCATCGGGCATGATATGTGTTTGCCTCATCTCGTCAAAGATCTGTAGTGCATCTTCAGCGTACCCATTTTTAGCAAGACCCACTATCATGGAGTTCCAAGAAATGACATCTTTTTTAGTCTTCATTTCTCGAAATATTTGGGCAGAACTCAAGACATCACCACATTTAGCATACATGTCCACAAGGGCACTGCAAATCAACTCGTCTAGATCGAAACCGGTATGGATAATGAGGGAATGGATCTCTCTACCATCTAGCAAAGAGGACGTGACAGCACATGCTCGAAGGATGCTAGCAAAAGTAGCCTGATCAGGTACAGCATTCTCTCTACGCAATTCTTGATATAGCTCCAGAGCCTCCTCACTGAAATCATTTTGAGTGAGCCCTGAAATCATAGCAGTCCAAAGTATAGTGCTTTTTCGCTTTGGGAACTCGGAGAAAAGCATTTCGGCATCCTCTTTGCATCGGGAGTTCATGTACATGCCCAAAAGAGAAACTCTCAAGAAGTCATAATCACCAGATAGAATGGCTCTCTTTAGTATTAGACAGTGGATTTGCCTCCCTAGAATTAGCCTTGTTGCAGATCCATTGCAAACATCTAAAAGGCTTGCATATGTTATATCAGTAGGGCTCAATCCCGCAACCTGCATATCTCGCAACAGATTTATAGCTTTCTTTAAAATGACTTGGCAGTAACCAGCAATAAGCACATTCATGGAGACTACACTCCGCTGAGGCATCAAAGAGAAGACTTTATGAGCGGCTTCAATGGCCCCGCACTTGGCATATATGTCAATAAGGGAGCTTCCTGCATAGAGACTTGTTTCCAAACCAGATTTAACAGAGAGACAATGGACTTGTTGCCCCTGCTTAAGTGCTTGCACATTTGCACAAGCACTTAGTATACTTGCTAAGGACACTTCATCAGGCATCAACCCGTGTAAAGTCATTTTTTGGAACAAGTTGAAAGCTTCAACCTCGTCCCCCTCCTGAACATATCCAACGATGATTGCATTCCAAGAGACCTTATCTCTATTCCTTATGCGTTCAAATTGCTTCCTTGCATCCGTCATAGACCCTGACTTAGTGTACATATCCGTCAATGCATTCCCAACAAACAAATTCGATGTAAATTTGTTCTTGATAATAACAGAGTGCAACTGGCGACCCAATTCCAGATACTCCAAGCAAGCGCACGCGCTCAAAATGCTAGTGTAGGTAAACTCGTCTGGCTGAACACCACATCCTTTCATATTGGAGAACAATTCTATGACCTCAAACGCAAACCCGTTCTGTGCATAGCCTCCGAGCATTGAATTCCACAAGACAATGTTCTTAACATCTACAGCATCGAATACTTTCTTCGAATCATCCATTTTCCCGCACTTGGCATACATATTAATCAAAGAACTCCCCACATAAAAATTTGAATCCAAACCCTGCTTAACCGCATGAGCATGAATCAGCAAACCATTGTCTAAAATTCCTAAACAAGCAACTGCACTTAAGATACTTCCAAGTGTAGATCTTGTGGGTTTTACACCAGTTTTCATCATTTTCACAAAAAAGATTATAGCTACTTCCTCATAACCTGCCTTGGCATGCCCAGAAATCATCACATTCCAAGCTACAACATTCGGACTTGGCATCTCGGCGAACAATTCACACGCGTAATTTAGCTTTCCTATACCAACACAAGCATTAATGACAGTCACATAAGCAGCTCGATCTGGAACAAGGCCAACATTCTTCATCTCCTCAAATAATCCGATCCCTTCCTCAGGCAAACCATCTTGAACATAACCAGTAATCATAGCAGTCCAAGCAACGACATCTATCTTCCCAGCCCCACCAAAAACCTTTCTAGCATCACTCATGCAACTACACTTGGCATACATATCAACAAGTGCACCTTCACAATATGGATCCAACTCGAACCCCAACTTAACAGCACCACAATGAACTTGACTACCAAACTCAACATCCACCAATCTCGCACAATTGGATAAAACCATAGCAAACGTGAACCCATTTGGAGAACATACCCCGTAACTCCACAACGAAACAAATGACTCCAAAACCTTCTCCAACAATCCCCACCTCGAGTACATAGAGAGAATGGAGTTCCAAGCAAAGACATCTTTCTTCTCAAGCTGAGTAAATGCTTTCTCTGCAAAGCTCACATTGCCACCCTTCGCATAGAGATCGACAATGACGTTTCCCAACAATCCTTTGGAGGCCACTCCGAGCTTCAAGCTATGAGCGTGGATGACCTTGCCGGTTCTCAAAGTTTGAGACAGTCGTAATGAGTCAGATAATTCATTTAACAATTGGCGGGAGCCTAATTTTTTGCATTGTTGCAAGCAGACTTGCGAGAGATGATGATAAATACTTGGTGACATCTAAGCACACGGGCGAGAGTTCCATTAGCCATCATAAACTAGCAAAAATAAAAACAGTAGCCTGCAACATCGTCAAATTAAATCATTGAAAAAAAAAAAACAAAAAAGAAGAGAAAAAAAGACAAGTTCCCTCAAGAACCTACCCTTGGGAATCATGCCTGCGTTATAATCCCTACTAGAACGAATGTGAGCTGGTGGCTGTTCATTCCCTCTTAACCTTTTCCAGAGCTGTAAATTAAGGATTTTCAAAATTCATGAACAGCTATTTTAGTATTCTCTTTTTGTTTTTCATCTTGTTTTTTGTCGAATTTATCAAACAGAAGTGTACGGATACGCAATAAATACCTTAATAATATTATGTATAGACCGCTCCTCCATAACGATCATCCCCATCCATTTGCAGGACCTGTTTCACGGAATGCAAATATTAATACCAAAACAGGGTAAACAAAATGGTTTGAGCTAGTATAGAAATACAAATCTTGTTCATTAGTAACTTAAGGCTTTGTATGGAACCTACTTTTATGGTGGAAAAAAAATATGAAAGGAAGAACAAAGAAACGAAAATGAAGGCAGGATTACTATAGATATTTTTCAATTTTTCCATCTACTTGAAGGGATAGCATTTAAAAGCTGGCTGTTTCCATTCTTCAAAGAAATTCAAAGACACAATACTAGCCCTGCACTATTGTACTTTTTTTCAGCTCATGAAGAATAACTTATATAAAGCAAATGTTTCAAGATGTTTGCATATGCATCATCTACATAAATTAGGAATTTGAGGACACTTGTACCTAAACCTTGCTCTTCCTTCCATTGCCGCCCTACACAAATTTTGTTTGGATTGTTAGGCACGCTCATCTCAATGACCATCACCGCCACCATCATCATCATCATCATGTCCAATTCCAACGATGACTTTTCTCAAAATCTACGGCCATCTTAAGTTGGTAAAAGAATAGGCAATCAGGTTAGCAATTCCCCATGTAGATAAATGCTACACTTGCGCAATTTTTGTTTTCAATACGAACTTCGTGAATCATGTGGAGCAAGTGCAATGCAAGAACACGCGAATTCCATTTAACAAAAATGTCATTAAAGACGGCTCCATATTATATGACAAGGTAGTTATAGGGGGACTTGAACCATTAATGAGTCTATCATGTTCCGCAAATAAATCTCTCCCTTGGGTATTTCATCAAACAGCTTTTAAGCATTGTACATTACAGGTAGCTAGTTATAGAGAGACTAGAAGGACTAAGTTCATGTTCCACGTACAAAATTCTCTCTTAGACATTCTATCAAACAGATTAAGAGCATCATCCAAATCCCCACAACAGGCATTAGAAAAAAAAAAGACAACTATAAACCTATAACTATGTCTCCATATGCCATTCTCAACGAATCAATTCCTAACAATGACAAAGAGGGGGAAAAAAACAAAAATACGAAAACTTATAAAATAAAAGCAAAATCAGTGTGTCGAAAAAATGGGAAAAAGAAATTATGAAGAGAAAAGTTACCGAATTCCTAGAGCAATGTCAAGGTGATGGCAATGAAACGTAAGACTTGAATCTCTCTATGTCAACCGTAGCATATCATCTTCATGTGGGAATTGCTGTTGTTTGTTGTTTAAGTGACAAAATGACGAATCATTTTTCACTTTTTCTTTGTAAACAGAAAACAAAAAAGAAAGAGTAAAATAAAATGAAACGAAAAGCAAAAAATGATACCTTAAACGACATGTCTACGTTGTCTTTTATGTCGTTGAATTTTTTTTTTTTTCCCCTCTCAACTCAAATGCATGCAAATTACTCTGTATTTTTTTTTTCTTCAACCCCGTTTGACGGTTCAAAAGTTACCGAATTCCTTTGAGTTTGACGAGGAATAAAGAAAAAACAAAAAATAAAAATAAAAATACAATCTGAAGGACGAAATGCGACAAAAGTCTCCGGCCACACCCTTTTTATATAGGGCTATTTTCGTAAATCCACTGAAATATGCACCTCATATCTTTTGATACATAAAAAATGTTCAAAGTGTTTCCGCCTATAATTTTAAATTAAAACCATTAATACATTAAAAATTATAAAAAGAAATAATAAAAAAGAACCTTAACATTTGAAAAGGAAATAATAAAAAAACAAAAACAAAAACAAGAAAAAAAAAAAAAAAAACTCTGCTCTTCTTATCGTCAAATCGGACCAACACCCGCCGCCGATCTCCCAACTAGACCACACCCCGGCAATGGAACAACCCCACATCCTCCCGGCGATTAGCCATCTCCGTGGCGGCCAAGCCACCATCTTCTCATCACCCACCCTAGACCCCCCTTTCCTTCTTCCCTTCCGCCACCGCTGCACTACTCCCTTTCCTTGTCCATATTCAAACACCCTTTTCAGAAAAGAAAAAAGATAAAAAAAAGGAGAAAAACACTCCAGAAAAACAAATGAAGAAAAATATAGGAAATCCCCTCTTTCTCTCTCTAAGATCCAAACCAGCCTTCATGACATAGCAATTAATCTGACTTGCCAAAAACTCATAAGACTAAAACATATCTATGAGGCATTTCGTTGAACAGCTTCCTCGGAGAAAGGAACTTATGCCTAGAATGCTACAGCATTCATTATAACATTCTGTTACAGAATGTTACAGAATTTTTTATAACATTTTATTTCAAATATAAGAAAATATTATAACATTTTATACAACATTTTAAAGAAAATATTACAGCATTTTACATAGCATTTTAAAAATAAAATGTTACAGCATTCATACATCATTTTAAAAAGATGTTGCAGCATTCTAAGTAGCATTTTTTTTTTTTTAAAAAGTCCCTCAAATTTTGAGAGTTTCAGAAAGTATGTGTTAAAACCAACTTTAGTAATGGCCACTCAACAAGGTTATCACAATTAGTATTAGAGCACAATTATAATTAAGTAACGGCTACGTAATCAGGGTCATTATAGCACTTTCTAAATCCAAACAGTTCACATAAAACAACAGCAAATCTGAATCAATCTTGACACAAAAAAAAAAAGAATTATATATGAAACAAACGTGCATGAAGTTGAGTAAAGAAAGAGACAATGAAGATAATCTTGCGAAGAAAAATGGAAAAGACAAGAAAATCCGAGGTTTGATAATTTTTTCTTTTAAGTTCGGCCATGCAAGCAGCGAGCATGGTCTTCAATTCGGCATACTTTGCAAGCTTTTGTACACATTTGCTTGTTATGGGGATGTCCATTTCTTTCTTACAAACTTCAAAGTCAAGCTGCTTAATTTTGACACGTTTGGCTAGAGGTGAATTGAAAAATAGTAGAGCGCGTTTAGAACTCATTCTAAAATTATTTTATTTTATGTATGAAAATAAAAATGAAAACGTTTTCAATCTCAGACAGAAATTATGTTTGAAAATTATCAAGAGATTATTTTCAATATAAAAAACACATTAATGTCTCTCTCTCTGCTCGAGAGATGAGAAAATAAAAAAAATGAAAAACGTATAAAAGTCATTTTTCATTTCTCTCTCATTTTACACTACATCAAAAAATTATTTTTATTTCTGTTTTTTATCTTTATTGCTTCAAACGTCGTTTGAAAACGTTTTTATTTTTTCTTTCTCAAAAAATGTAAAAAATAAAAACGGGATCAATTCTAAACACGGCCCTATTTTTTTTTTTCTTCCTTATGCCCAAGTTGAATGATGATGAACATTTGTTTAATTCCTCTCTCTTAAATAGTGGTTAATTGAAAAACATATGCATACGTATTGAAGTTTTTCCATTAAAAAAAAAAAAAAAAAAAAAAACTGGTAGCAAAAGCTTTTCATTTATATATTTGTAAAAATATTTTTAATTAATGTACACATGGACGAGTTTAAAAGTGAATGCTCATTAATTTGCACTAGGTCCAGGGCTTGTACAAAATATATGTAGCTATAACTAAAGCTTAACCCGCTGAGCGATTTTGACCAAGAAGCGTAATAATTGACTACAACTACACAAATAAGTACTGGAAACCCTCCAAACACGTCAATTTCCAGATTTTGTGTGGTTAGAGTGTTTATTTACACAACTAGTGATGACTTGAGTTATATATAAGACAAAAATATTATTGTAAAAATGTTAAATTTAAATTTATGTGAGAAAAATACTGTAATCAAATGACTTGAATTATAATTTAGGATGCGTTTGGAATTCGTTCCAAAATGATTTTATTTTTTTATATGAAAATGAAAATGAAAATGTTTTCATTTTCATTTTGGAATCATTTCTGAAAATGCGTTTGGTAGTTTTATTCCGAGATTGATTTCAGTTTAAAAAAAAAAAACTAAAATTGTGTTTGGTGGTTTAATTTTAAAAACATGTAATAATATTTAATATTAAAATATATTAAATAAACAATAATGGAATAATTTCTAAACCCAATTCCACAATTCCACAACAAACCCAGTTTGTCTCTCTCTCTCTTTACATTTTCAAACAAAAACCAAAACCAGCAACCCCATCCCTCTCTCTCTCATCTTCGATTAACAAAAGCCAGATTCACAAAATTTTACCCGTGCAGCAAAACAAAAATAAAAATCCCAGATTTCTGGCTCAGTTAGAGAAACTGTCGCCGACAGCGTGATAGGAGTAGATTGTTGGCAATTAGATCGCAGTGACGGTTGCTGTTGGGTAGGATCCCACCATGGTCGTGACCTTATCGCACGACTCGTGATAGAGGACGGGAGGTCGAGAGAGAGAGGGGGGTCGCGATTCGCCAGTTTTGGGTGTGGCTTGTGACGGTGTTTCCTGGCGAGGTTCGACGGCAGGACCCACTGGGTTTTGATGTACGAGGCAATCTGAGTCGATGCGCGGTTGTAGTTATGGACAACTCGTGGTGGATACGGAGGGGCAAAGTTGGCTTGGTCGCGACTTTTAGGTGGCGCCGGTGGCGATTTCGGAGAAGAACGAAGGGAGCAAATGAAAAGGAAAATGAAAAATGGATTTAATCCGTTTTCAGATTTTCAGAAAATGACAAAAACGTTTTTGTTTTCAATTTTTAAAAAATTATGCGCTAAACGCGTTTTCATTTTTTATCCTCGAAAAATGTAAAAAATGGAAACAAAAATAGAAACAAACAGAGGCTTAAGTTTTTATTTTTAAAACAAAATAGTTGAGCTCGCACGGAGCATCAGCTTCATCTATGCCCTTTACTTTATTGTGTTTGAATTTAAAATTAAGTAGGGTTTTTAGCACACAGTCTCCTTTTCTTCTTCGCTTTGTTATTCATGTTAATTAGTTCTCAATATATAAAACTATGAGAGTTCTCTCATTAATATCTCTATAATTTTTTATACCCGTCACAATCAACGAATTTTGTATTAAGTTTCGCGATTCCACTACATCACAAACTTTATAATGACAATATCTTTAAGATGGGTTCCCTCGCAGTCGCAGATAATATAATACAATTTAGGAGCAAACTTTCCATTATTATGTCGACGTTGCAAGTTTGAAAGTAGTTAAAGTGTATAGAAATTGATTATATATATATATATATATATCCATTGCATGAATCCAATTATAAAGTATATCAAACAGTAACTTTTCATTTATTATATTATATTTCTGATAATTATTTTACAAATGTGGATATCATATATAATTGAGGTAGCTAGCTTAATTACGTTCCATTACATATTAGATAAAGAGTTTACTAAAGTTGATCATGGAATATGACCAGGACCCTTAGCCGGCTGTGGTGGAGATTGACCTCCTCGTACCGGATGATATTTAGGCGTATTTAATCTATTAAACACACAAACAAATTTGGTTATAAATAATGCATAAAATATATGAGATATTAAAAAACACTCGCGAAAATAGATAATTACATTTCAACTAAATTGGCACTACTACAAGAATTTTTGAATTTTTGCTATCAAAATTTTTGCTACTAATTAAAATTTTTTTAATAGCAAAAAAAAGTACTTTTAGAGACCGAATTTTAGTAGCAGTATGTTGATGCGTTTTTACCACTAAATTTGACAGCAAAAACTGACAATTCTGCTACCACACTAGAAGCATTTCGTTTGCTAATACAAGAAAAATATACAAAAAGTTTCTGAAAAGAAAATACAAAAAGTAAAAAATGCAATCTGAAGGACAAAAAGCAACAGAAGTCTCCGGCCATACCCTTTATATGTATATATGAGACATGATATATAATATATTTTTTCTATATTTGATTAGTTGTACTGTTTATCTCAATATTTCTAGGCAGCAAATATATTTCAATTACCGGGCGCCGTGGGAAAAGAGAGGCTGGAAGAGAAGAAGGAAGCAGCACAAGCGGAGAAAAATCAATAATAAGTTGCCCATCACCATAACCAAGCAAGAATATTGGTCGTCTAGTGTTTTGAAATGTAGAAGGATGAGACTCAGCGTGTGTGTATATATATATATATATATATATATATAGTACAGAGCTGAAGTCAGTTAAAATGCTTCAAACTAAATAAAATAATTGACGTATCTAATAAGATTTCTGAACCAAAGACTGGTTCAATTAACAAAGAAGGGTGTTTTGCACTTTCATCCTTTAAGCTTGTAGGATTTTGGCAACTTGTCACTTGAATTTCTAATCTTGACAATTTATTACCTTAACTTGGAAAACTATTACAATATTTTTTGCCCCAACTCAATTCATACCGTAGCATAAATCTCTCAATTCTCCAAATCTAAAACTTCAAAATCTGATCAAAAATAAGAGAAAAATTGGTAAAGTGGGCCGTATTGCAACGGTTTTGTAAATCAAGAGTAAATTATTAAAATTAGAAATTCAGGGAATAAGTTGCTAAAAACCGTATAAATTCAAGGGGTAAAATGTGCACAATAAAATTAAAATATAAACACATCTAAGAAAAGTAATCATTGACTTGAGTACCAAGGAGATGCCCATTTGAATTCAGTGATTAAAAGCAAATACTCGTTAAAATCGAGAATGAACATTCTTATCATTTTTTTATTTTTATTTTTACTTTTCTCTCTCATCTTCACTCTTTCATGATCTCAACTGTTAAAATCGAGAATGAAGCAGATTTGCTTTGACCAAATATCATGGTTGATTCTATGGGAAACAAATTCGATTTGATAAGGTATGATTGTCATTCAAAATTTCTTCGTTGGTGGTTGTGATCTCTATTTATATGCAGCCATATGTTGGTGCTCTCATTTAGTGCATTTTCCTTTTCTTCTCTTCTCTTCTCTTCTCTTCTCTGTGGATGTAGGCACATTACCGAACTACACGTTAAACTATTGGTGCTCTCTTTTTCTTTCTTTTTTTTTTATTCTGACAATTCATGACGACCGAATCATCAAAGGAAACTGAGGATGTTAATCCTTCGGATCCTTACTACTTGCACGCTTCTGATCATCCAGGTGTCAGTTTTGTCTCAAAACCTCTTAATAGGGATAAATATGGGACTTGAAGTTGAAGAGACTCATAACATTCATTATTCATAAATCATAATTTTTGAAACTATGATAGGATGAAATTTTTAATTATCCTTATCCGAACATAGCACCACTATCTTCGGCAAACAATTGGGAGAATTCACAGTTTCTAATTCATAAAAATACAGTGCGAAGGGATCAACAAGCCTTCATGTGGCATGTTCATAACTATGTTCAATATTATTCGAATATCATGTCATAATACCAATATTGTTTGAATTAAGATTAGATTCCGATCCCATTTGAGTCTCGTAGAACTTCCTTTTAGTATTAAGAAATGTAATATGTATGAAATTTTTTCTTTTATGTAAAACTTGTTTATTTATGTATCTTTTTAATATTGATGCTATTAGAAAGTATTAGAAATATGTTTTAATGTAAAATTCTGTCATTTGCATAAATTTTTCTGATATTTCCATCTATCGATATTTTTTCTAATATTTCTGTAAAACTGGAGTACCGATATTTTTATCCTTGCACCTAGCTCAAGCCGCAGGGCAAGTTTGGATTGGTTTCTGTTAACAAAAAAAAGTATTTTGCACGTCCCCCTAAACTTAAAGGATTTTGATATCGTGTTCATTGAACTTTTGATGTTGACAATTTACACGTCACTTTGATGATAATTCTGTTAAATGGGAAGCACGTTCGATGAAAAATTCGAACATGGTGTTAAGGTAAAACTCAGCACCAAGATCATAGCCCTACATGTGGACAAAATTTTGGACGGAAAGTCGGCTGAAATCGACTAGAGGCATGGTAGACTCGAGATGACTGAAGAAGGCGACGAGAGTAGACCCATGGAGACCACCACGAATAAATCATGAAAGGAAGTTCCTTAGAGGCTACAAAGTCCAATCCAGCCAGATATGATATTAAGGATATGAATCCAATCAATAAAGAAGAGTAAAGTAACCTCAAACCAAATAAGGAAACAAGAAAAAGAAAAGTCAACTCAAACGAAAAAGAAAATGAACCCTCTCCTATAAAAGTGGGATAGAGATCACAAATTGAACGGCTAATTCCTCTCATTCTGACCTCATTCTTAGTATTCTCTCTCTAAACTCTCTCCTTTTCTCTCTTTCTTTCTCATTCTCGGTTGTAATTGTATTTATACACAATATGCTCAAACCTCGAGACCCTATGGTAGACGTAGCCTTCTCATTCGAGGTGAACCACTATAAATCTGCGTGTCCATTTATTTTTCGGTTCTTTACATTATTGTCTTTGCGTTAAATCAACTCGAGTTGACTCGCCGACGTGATCATAACTGGGCGCTAGCGGCTATTGGCCCTTAATTTCGTATTAAGCAGAATTTCCCCCTAACACATGACACAACCCAAACTGTAACACAAATCTCTTAACCCTCTAGGCTCCAGCTTTCAATCCCTTGAATCTGACAAAAAAGAGCAAAATTAATAAAATGGGGCATATGTAATAATTTTACAAGTTCGGTGATAAATGGTCAAATTAGAAATTTAAGAGACAGTTGACAAAATCCTAAAATTTAAAAGGATAAACGTACGTATAAAATACCCAAAAAGAAAACATATACGCAACTAAGAAAAGTAATCAGTGACTCAAGTCGAAACATGCATGCAACTTAACAATAGCTCAAAATGTCCTGTAAGATCAATTTGGATTTCAATCAGTGACCGACTTTCACAAAAAAAATATATATATATCAGTGACCAAAAAAAAAAACATTTCATAATTATGTTTAGAAATTTTGTTTTGAAGTACTCGTTTCATAAACCCAGTGATCCCAATTATTCCCAAGTATATGTTAATTTTATTGAAATTATTTCATTTCATAATAAAATAAAAATTAAATGCTTCCGCAACTTTCACGTGTCACTTAACATTTAAAATTTAACTGAGAAGGCGAAAAAGAGAGACATTAGCAACGGCTAATTATTCAAGAAGAAAATTTGTTATTTTAAAAATTTAGAAAGCATTTTATTACAAGATCAATAGTTCAAAGGGGACAAATGTAACTTGTCCTTATTATTTTGTTATGCGCGAATATTGTTTTTGAACAAAATCCAGGCATTGCTGTTGATATGGACTGATGCTAAACTAGAGGAGCAAGCCATTAATCTCTCTTTGATTATGTCGAATGGTCATTTGGCCGCATTTCTCTTTCTAATCTTGTACTTCTTCTGATATGGGCAACACTATTAACACAATCATAATTTATATCTTTTACATTGCAACACAGCAACAACTTCTATTGACTCTGCTTAGATATTTTGAGATGGAATTTACATATTGAACTGTTAAAAGAAACAATATTCAAGCAAACATAGAAGAGAGTCTATTGTGACTCTTAATTTTGGTGAAATTCTATTGACGGCATTCTCCCAAAACGTTAATTGACACAACTGACAAAACCAATTCTTGATGCTTTAAGCATCAGCGACTTTGGTGGCAATGATGGAGGCATATTTGGCAATTTCTTTTTCTGGGGATTGCTGAAGCCGGCCAATGACCGGGAACAACTCTGACGAACGAAGGAACTGTCTACATGGTGTGTGCGAACACATCTTCGCCAATGAAAACAGAGCTATCTTAAGAGGTGACTCGTTTAAGGCATCTTTCTTACTTGGATTCAGAGCTACTGCTGAACAGTCAGCCACCAACTTCAGTAAAGCCTGTAAATTACAAAAGTATCCAAGTAAAAAGCGAATTGTAGATTATTTATAACTTACGTATGTAGTAGGCAACAAAGTATTAAAGCGGCTAGAGAAATTAACAACCTCTAATGGGATGTTTGTTTCAAAGGTTCGTCCCTGGTTATAAATCATGGTTCTTAGTTCTTCTCTCACAAAAAAATTGAATTTTAAAAATCAGAATCATGAATCATGATTTTGAATCCATGAACCAAACGTCCCATAAGAGTGTAATTGGGCATTGCTTGATATAATATGTGAAAAGGCAAGGCAACATGTACACAAACCTGCATGGCTCCTTTGGATACAATGTCTTCACAAAGCTCGTTGGAGTTGCGAATAAGATTGCTTAATGCACCAGCAGCATTTGATTTGGTCTTGTCTTCTTCCGCTGAAAGCAATAAATTCCCAAGCTGAGGTATAGATCTTCTGAGCTCTCCGTACAATGTGTCATTATGGTAAGCAGCATTTCCAATCTGCCAAAAGAAGCCATGTATTAGAAGGCTCGTCTTTGGTTTGCCTTGTTTTCCTTTGTAAGAAAAATGTTGTTAATTCATTAAGACAGATCCTTATAGCAACATGTAATATAAATGTAATTTAAGAGATTCAAATCAAAATGTTTTGATCTTGCATAGCAACTGAACTTACAGCGAAGCATGCAAATTTTCGTGTGCGTTTATCTGGATCAGAACATCGGTCGATTAGAAGGCCAATGATTTGACATCTTGCCTGAAGCATGAAATTCAATAGAGTTCATGGTCGGAATTAATCTAGAACCCTTGTAAAGAACATGAAAAATGCGTAAAACCAATCTACGCATGCTTGTAACAGAATGAGTTTTATCTCCAATATCCACCACATAAGGACTAGTCTTTGTATCTTTACAAATCTTTGAAGCGTTTAAATGGTTTAGTCCAATAAAAATAATCAACTTTTCATTCCTTACCAGTGTACTATAAAAGTAGGAGCTATATCGACACATGTTGCCTAGAGCATTACAGGCTTTTGCACGTATGTTGGGATCTTCATGGACAAGAAATTCCTTCAAATGCTCCAAAATAGAAGCCCTGTTGATGAATTCATAGAATCCCTGAACACCAAAAAAGCCAAATTTAAGATTTTGGTAGTTTTTTGCATTTTCCAAGACTCCAGAAGTTGAAAGAAAATAGAGTACGGACCCTTTATACAAGAACAGTTCTTCAACCAAAAAATAATAATGATAAAAATAAAAGGCTAACCTTGTCCATTCGAGCTAAATCTGAAATAATCATAAGAGCATCTAGTGTGACTTCTTTCGGGCTTGAATAATCAAGCAACCTTCTCCACCGATTAGGATCCAACAGGCCTTTACTCACAAGTTGAACTGCAAGAGGGCGATAGTTTATCATTTTAGCAAGGAAGGCAACAGGCCTGCCCAAATCTTTTGACTCCATATGCTCCAAACATCGAAGAATAACTACAGGCACTCCCACCTGGAAACTTCAAAAGAAATGAAATGAGAAACGTATAGGTCTCTTGCTACTATTATGTGTCATGCTTCAGCACTTAAAGCTAAATCTGAACATAAAGATTTAGATATTTCTAGTTTTCCTCAATAGAATTAAAAAGAAGACACAAATTAAGAAACCCAACTGGAAGGAAGGTACAACTATTGAATAGTTGATAAGGTTGTTATGAACATGGGTTTTAAAATCATCCAGTTTCTTAGTGCTCTACACATGAGAATGAAACACCCTTCCAATCAAATCCGTTGCTGAGGGGAAAAAAAAAGAGGAATATTTACAAGAAAACCTTGAAAGAGAGAGGATTCAAGGTCTAACCTCTAAAAGGATTTTAATATACTTTCCCAACTCTTCCTCGATTACTTTCACCATGTCCTTGTCGTCGATGCACACCCTCCCACCTGGTGAACCCATATTGAGAAGGAAACCACTATTTACAGAAGTAGTAGCTGATGGCAAGCCTTGAGCATTCTGTATAGCAACAAAAGGAAATGCTAACAGATCAATTACAGCATTTATTATATCTCTGACTCCTTCCCTGCCTCCACCAGGCCCCGCCCAGCATTTTACTAGCTTGAGATGTACATCACCTATCAAGTCAGAAATGAGCTTAATATTTTCACACTTCACCATAACCTGTCTAAAAGTAGTTATTCCCCCGGAAAGACAGGGACATATTGATGAAACCGCCCACACTACTCCTACAGGGGATAGCCCAACTTGATCTTTTCTAGCTAACAAATCAATTAGAAGTATAGGGACGCCACTTTCGCACATCTGTTGCACGGCTAGTGGTCCACCCCACCTCAGCCTGGATTCTAACAAACCAACACATCCATCCTTAAGGCCGTGCCAATGTGAGAGGGAACCATTCGTAGTCACAGTACCCAGTTCATTTTCATTGCCTAATGAAATTTTGAGGCACTCGCAAAGTGTGGTGGTTCGAGGAATCAAAGGAACTGCTATTTCGGAGACAGAGGATTCCACAGAAGATCCGGTTTCAAGTGATAGAATGGAAGCAAGAGCCAACATGGCGGAGGCACTATGAGGTTGGAATGAAGTTTTCGTTCTGTCATCAGAAGTGAAATAGTGGGCAAGGACCATAAGTCGAGAAATCTGATTCTTTGGTGAAGTTGTAAGCATAAATAAAGCGGAGTTTCTTCCCGTTGCCTTTAAACATTGTGCAACTGTTGCAATGACAAGGCAAGAATGCAGAACCACGAGAGCAGGATTGGTTAATTTGCACTTCAAATTATTTGTTTGGCCCGTTTGTGTATCTTTACTGAAAGATGATGTAGAAAAAGATAATACAGAGAAAATCTCAGAAATAATAGTGCCATCCCCTCCACCACTGACAACAGTAGTTACCGGTAGGGAATTTGGCAGGCCACATAAAACGCCCGGGACAATTGCACTATGTAGACAGCACCTCAACAAGAGCTGAAACATGAAATAATAATTGTATTACCTTCCTGCTAAATACTCAAATGCAATGGCGTAATAATTATAAGAAAATGTTGAATAAGACTCTTTAACAGCTTTCTGATGTCAAAAGTATAAAAAATGGAAAGATTTAGTTGCTTTTTACATATGAAAATGCGTTCCCAAATTTTAGATAATAAAAACGTGAGTAAATACCTGAATCCCTGCACATAAAGAAGTCTCGAGACGTTGATGAAGGCAATAATATATAGAAACCTGTATTGACTTTGATCCAAGAAATGCTTTTGTCACTGCATCAGCAAAATTTGCTGATTCTGAGCCGTGCAATGAACCTTTCTCCTGATCACTAATGTCATGTCTGACAAAGGAATGATTTTGCATAGCACTTAGGGGAAATTGTTTGCCGTTTTCTATCATGTGTATAATTTCTGATGCATCAATCAATGACCAAATAGCTCGACAGGCTTCACAAGAAGCACGCAGCATCTCTGAAGAACCTGAGATGAGACTGGAGCCCGTAGTAGCTAAACAGAGACACAAACAGTCCACTAAACTGGATGTTTTAGCATGATCCAATATCTTTTTGAATGTCTCATAAGGAACAGAAATGACCTCGCGATCTGAACTCGAAGAAACTGCTTTTAGACCTTGGGCAACTGTAGATAACATAACAGTAATGCAAGCAGTGGACTCATACAAAACTCTTCCACATACATCTTCACTGCAATCAACAACCTACATTCTCAAGAATATGAGAAATCTAGAACTCAAATTGATTTCAGCTGTCACCATTCAGTAGATGTCACAAAAAGATTATAACCTGTGAAAAAATTTCGGCAAAAGCAACCCAGTGCCTGAAGTATGAACCAGTAATGCCCCTTCCTTTGTTGTCTACCAAAATTTTGATGATAGAGAAACTCTACAAAGAAATTGGATTTGCATCAGAGTCAGGCAAATGATGATCATACAAGAATGAAAAAAAAATGATTCAGCTCTTTTAATTCTGAAACTTGTTGAGCTTCTGGTTAAAATTCACAATAGATATGGAAAAACCTCTCAGAAGAGAGTTTAAAACTCTAAGGGGGGGGAGGGGGGGGAGCAAATATTTGTATTTGAGTGGAAAATAACGACAGCTAAGTTTATGAACTAAAGGAAAGATTATAAATAACAATAAGTTTGAAAGCTAAAGGTAAACAAAACACAGAAAATTGGAATAATCTTAACTGCTACCAATCATCCTCAAACCAGGAATAGGAAAGGTGCAAAATAGGAAATTATGGTTTCAAAATCTACAATTTCCTAAATGAAGCAACGAACCTTTGCTTTTAAGTTATTAACTTCAGATGATTTCAAGCCAACAACAGTTGCAGTAAAAACAAGAAGTGCATGTATTATTTCATCGAGCAGTCCACCGGAATGGATAGCGCCAGCTGCAACTAAGTTTGAAAGAATTCTTAACGACTGGATCGAACCATGAATGTCTTGATCCCTGTGAACATTCGGCAAAGAATCATGTGTTAAGGATATTTCTTTATAGGTGCATGAGGAAGTAAAATAACTAATGATATTGAGGCATGCAACTGAATACCTGCTAGGACTTGGTGATCCTCTAGACCATCTTTTCAGTGGCAGTAAAACATGTGCTAATGCTTCATTATCTTCGCCAATTATTTGTGCCCCTTGGATTGTACGTGAAGTATTTTCCAGTCTATCCAATATTTGGCTACCTGAAAGAACGTTAATCTTTAAGTTTACTTCATTCTATTACAGTTATGAAAATTAAGATAGTGAACCTTTAACTTATGCATATATTTAGTACATAAGAAGTGAAGAAAATCAGAAGCACGAAAGAGCAAGGAGGCCATAACACCTTTTTCAAAGAATTAGAAATTATCTACCTGGCTCTTTAACATCATTTGGTCCTGCAAATCCAGGAAAATCTTGTGGTGAGGAATTTCCCATGGTGGGATTAGGAGCCTGTAACTGAGTATCATTCTGATGGGTCAACCCATTTCCATTCTCTAAAGGAGTGGAAGACTTGATTTTACCTGATAGGGTAGTCAATAACTATAAAGAAAATAACTAAAAGCCTAACTATAAAGGACTATGAAACAGGATTGAAAGAAGCAAACCAGAGCTTCCTTGATCCCTCCAGGTTGCATTGTGCTCTCGGACAGTTGAAGAAAGCATATTCTGGAATTAAAAAAGTTTGGAAAAATACTTGGTATTAACATTTATGTTTCCATTTATACTCATGTTGCAAACTAAGAATCATAGTTGTCTTAACTAGATGTTCTCTAGATAGTAGCTATGATGGTAGATAGGTTGAGCAACAAGGGTTTGATACTATATTCTAGCTTCTAGATAATATGTAGACATGAAGAAATGTACAGACTCACCCTGGCCTCCAGTTCATCAGACGTTTCCTTAACAAAAGGGTGTTCAAGAAGAGCAGGCCAAGTCAAACGGTTTTGCGGTACCTGTTACCAATGTGTAGAAAAATAGAGAATTGGAAGTCACTAAAAAAGTAAAATTAAGACCATTGGTTGGAAGAAGAAAAGCTACTAATCATATGACAACCTTATTGAGTAATCCCTTCAGGAAACTTCTAAAACTCAGACTCATATTATCGGGATATTTGACTGGATCCTGGCATATTCTCAAGTAAAGTTAGCTTACACTTCTGAAACTTAAACTGCCAAAACTCATATTCTATTTGACAGAATTTACCTTAACAATGTGACGTATAAGTGCATATACAGAATTGGTATAAAATGGAGGCTGGCCAACAAATAATTCATACCTGTTTTGTCCATGTAAGTTGTAACTAGTTTCAGTGGAGATAAAAAGTGAAGAAACGGTGGACAAGAAGCAAATGATGATAAGCCAGTGGAATACAAAAGATTAAAAAAAAAAAAAAAAAAAAAAAAAAAAAGAGAGCATAAATTGATAGTTCTCCTTTTTCAATTTCCAAAAAAAAAAAAAGCATGATGCCGATTTTCCAAACAGATTAGGTTGGTGCTTGTTACAGGAGGTGCAAATTGATTCACACGTGTTTCAATTGGAAAAGGAGGGAGGGGGCGTTATCAACTGCTACAAGTACAAAGTCACGAAGTTTAGAACAAGACGATTTTCACTAAAATAAAAAGTAAAAAAAAAAAAAAAAAAAAAGTCTCTTAAAACCCCATGGCTTGAGATTATGAGGACCTGTATCCCATAGTTTTCTTCAAATATTGTTGGTGCAAAGCAATGTTTAAATTGACATTCAAAATCCGGCTTATGATTCTTTGAAGAAGAAGAAATAGTAATATAAGGCTGATCATCCCTTGCACATAAAGAACTATAGATGGAATAAATTACAACAAACAGCAAAGTCAACTGAAGTGAAGAGCTAGATAGAATTAGAAAACTTACCAAACTACTTTTCAAGTCAAAACAAGAAAAAATATAGCTATTAAAATCGAAATAGTCCACTAAAATATGAAGGAATTATTTTAAAACCAAAATAAAGAAGAAAAAAGGAGTTTTGCATACAATATAACTCCAAGAGACCATAAATCTGCAGTATGGTTGTATGGCTGTTCCCGTACAAGTTCCGGGGCCATATACAGAGGAGTGCCTGAAAAACAAAATGATGAAAACGTGAATTCAATATTATTTGGGCTTTCTAAGGCAGTTCACTAAGACTTGACAGTAATAGTTAACAGGGAAAGCAAGTATATAATTCAAATCCAGATAAAACAACCTTTTATGGATCTCAAAACAACAGTATTTGTGGACATTGCTCGTGCAAACCCAAAATCACAAAGCTGTAACCAATAAGGAAAATGTTAAGCTATCTGGTAAAACCACATGATTACAGAAATGCTACCCAAAAAACTATTTATATCTAAGCAGTTGTCATCCTGGTCACAATCAAAAAGTGATGGAATGAGTAATATAGCAGAAATAAAGGAATAATTAACTAGAAGTACATGTTTAATAGTAAAAGACTTCATAGCTTAGCCATCAACCTTAATAACGGACCCAGCACCAATGAGGATGTTCTGAGGTTTCATGTCACGATGGATAATGCGGTTGGAATGCAAGTAATACAATGCTCGCACCTGTAACACTCAACAGGTTTGAAAACGTAACAGAAAACAAAACAAAAAAATGTACAGCCAATTCCTGATGGACCAATTAAGTCAATTAAACTAATATTGAGATGCGACTGATATTGAGATACTCCTAGAGAAGAGTGTACCAACTGCTTTGCAATTGCTTGAACTTGTTCTTCAGGAAGGCACGTGTCATCCTCAAGAATCTCAAATAGCTCACCCTGTACATTAAGAAAGGCCATGATAAAGGATGCATCAAACTACATTCCAGAATAAGCTCAACAAATCTTCATTTTGTCTGCCATAGTTTCCATTAACAGTCCTGTGGGGGGTCATAACAGAATTATGGCGTCATTACCTGTGCAAATTCAGTCACAACACAAAATTCTTGTGGGCTTTCAAATGAATCAAGCATCTCAATGATGTTTTCATGCTTCAGCTTTCTAAGAATCTGTGAAACAAAGAGACTGCCATTACTAAACTCTCATAAAACCAGTAACAACATCAAGGAACTACAAGCTAAAAACTCGAGTAAAACGAAAATGGGACGGGACCGACACCTCAATTTCTTGTCTTAAATTTTGGATATCCTTGTCACTCTTCCCATGCTTCATAATAAATTTCATTGCAACAGTCTGAAAAAATAAAAACAAATAAATCTCGTCAACACAAAAGGAAAGTCAACAGAGAATGGCTAAGTAAAAAACAATTCGAAAAGGAAGAAATGGGGTACCTGGCCTGTGTACTTTCTCCTTCCCTTGTATACTTTCCCAAATGATCCTTCACCCACCAGTTCAATTACATGGTAATTCTCAACCCCCATCTTTTGCTTTGATTACAGCTATATTTATCTACCAAGTTTAACCCTGTTTGTTTAAACAGTTCAGATAGATACAATTGCACTTGACCCCTAAATATCAAGTTTGAAGTAGACTTTAAATAAAAAATAGTTTTCCATTTAATATAAGAACTTCAAACTCCATTTAAAAGGGTTAATGCAAAAATTTAGCTTAATTAACTGAAACTGAAAAGGCATGCCTAATTTGTTCAAAGCATTAAATGTTTTACCTAATTAAATCCAATTTTGCAATTGAAGTCCGAATATTTTAAGGATAAAAAAATAAAAATTGCAGTCTGAATTTTGAAACAACACCAAGAAAAATCTTATATGAACCCTCAAATGCACAGTGAATTGCAAAATAACCGATGTGAGAAATAGAAATGAGAGAGATGCAAATCTAATTCAAGCATTGAAACAGAAAAACCTGGATACCTAAAAAGAGGTTCGACCTCCGTCCCAATCGTTTTGGCTTTCAAACAACCTGAAACTTATCGCTAACAGATGCGTTTGGCGACTGAGAAAATGAAAGAAAAAAATATTATATCATTTGAATGATATTTCTCCAAACAGAAAACGCAAAGAAGAATTGAGCGGAATCTGAAAGAAACCAATAAGAGGAACAATGCTTCTAATTTGAGCAGAGGAAATCCGAAAGTAGAGAGAGAAAGAGATTTTTGAAGAGAGAGAGAGAGAGAGAGAGAGAGAGAAAGAAAAAGAGAGAGAGAGAGTTCTTTTTTTCCCGCCCGTGTTATTTTCAAGCTATTATTTTTTGAATAAATTTTCAAGCTATTATTTGATTTTCAACGTATTGGATATTTTGAAATAGTTTTATTTTGGTATGAAAATTAGGAACAGTTATACTGTTTTTGTTGGTCCCACCTGAGGCCGATGCATTGGTACGACTGAAATACAATCTTCACAGAACGACAGCAAAACCAACCAAACGACAACACATAAAAACGATACCATATTCACTGTAACGACCAGATCCCAAACATTTATTGGTGGTTTGGTACATGTATTAGAAACTATAGTGTTTTTCTCAAGGAATTTGAATAAAAAAAATTCATCCAAACGAACCCTTACTCTTTATAATCCAAAACTAACAAAAAGGACAACGTTAGATAAACAGACACGATAATAAATACGACATTATGCACAATAAAACGACAAAATCCTAAACATTTGAGCAAACAAAAGAAATTTCCCAAAAAAAACTCTTGCTTTGCAATTCTTTGGCTCTCTTCTCTTTCCCACTCCACTCGCTGCTGCTTACCAAAAAATTTCCTACCATTTTCTGTTTGGCTTCCAAGAAAACAATCCAGAAACGGGAAGTAATTTTCATTTTCCGATTATAATTAGTGGCTTTCATTTTCACTGCGCCCGTCATACCGATGAAGTGAAGAAAAAAGTCCTAAATTCGATATAATCGGAAAAAGAAAAGGAAGAAAACAGAAGATGGGTATTGAGTCGGAGGCGAGCAACTCGAAGTCAGCAACGGCGTCGTATGATGCTGCGGCGGCGGCGGCAGCGGCGGCGGGGGAGGGAGGGTGGAATAAGGCGAGAGGAATGGTGGTGAAAACGCTGGTGCTTATTGGAGGAGCTCTCTTGCTTAAACGCCTCACCAAGTCCACCACGCGCTGGGACCACGCGCGTCTCGTCTCACGCTCCCTCTCTGGCGAGAAGTTCTCCAAGGACCAGGCTTCTAGAGATCCCGATCATTACTTCAATTTCAGGTCCTCTTTTTTTTTAATTTTATCTATTTTGTTTTGGTATTTAATTGTTTTATCTTTCAAGAGGATTCTGTTAGTTTTATGTGAAAATCGAAAACTTTTTTTTCAATTATTAGAAAGAGAGTACTTTTATTGGAAGAAAAAGAGGAAAACAAGAAATCCAGAGTTGAAATATTGTTTAGTTCTTTGTGATAATCAGAAACCCATTTTTCTTTTCCCTTTCTTTGAAAAACATTGTTAGTTTTGGGTGAAAAGAAGGGGAATAAGAAATCCTTAAAATACAATAGGGAAGAAAAACCAAAGCTTTTTTTTTTTTTTTTTTTTTTTTTTTTGAAAACCCAAAGCTTTTTTTATAGAAACCCAAAGCTTTAATAGTGTAAAAATTTCATTATATGTGTTTTGCAGAATGCTAACATGTCCTGCAGCCGAAATGGTGGATGGCTCCAAGGTTTTGTATTTTGAACAGGTGGGGAAAATTGGCTGTTTTTTCTGAATAAAATTGTTCGGTTTTGAATGATCATGTCAGGCAAAAGTTGACTTGGTGAAGGGTTTTTCTTTTCTGTTTGTAGGCATTCTGGAGGACTCCTCAGAAGCCCTTTCGGCAGGTATGCTAATCGCTCATGATTCCTCTTTCATGGCTGTGTCAAAGGATCGTAACGCAGTCTTCAGTCTAGTTTCATGCGGATTTTCTCTTTAGAAGTGAACTGCATTGTTCAATAATGGGGACTTGTTTTCTTAATTGAATTCTAGCTGTTTCTGGTTGCAGAGATTCTACATGGTGAAGCCTTGCCCTAAAGAGTTGAAATGTGATGTTGAGGTGACCATTTACTCTTTTTTGCTATTATTAATTTTAAAGAACAAACCGCGTCTGTGCATTTCATTTCTAAGAGAAGTCATCTCTTTTATTAAATAGTAAGACGTTCTCCCTAGAAGTCATGTTTTTGATGAATGTAGGGTGTAACCACTTTGATGGTTATAAGTTAATTGTCACCAAATAAGACAAATTTTCGGTCACTGGTGTTCACTGGCCATGAATGTTGTTGATGGTAGATAAGCACTTGGTAATTTAATTTGTCCTCCCTGGGCAGCTAAGCACGTACGCCATTAGAGATGCAGAGGAGTACAAGAACTTCTGTGATCGCCCGAAAGACCAGCGCCCATTGCCTGAAGAAGTTATTGGGGTAAGGATTTATTCATTCGTATTAAAAGTAATGATCTTTGCTTATGAAATGGATGTGTTGGATTAACTAGGTTCTGTTTTGTACAAGTATTGTAAAGGACGCATCGTTCTCTGGTTTGTTTTACTTGCTAACTTAAGCTAAAGCACAAAAGAAAATGATTACCGCAATTTAGCATGATTTTTTTAAAAGAAGCACGTTCAGGCTAAGCGCGCTATGGGTTCACAAATACAAGATATACTGGAGCTTTGCTTGCACTGGGAGTTGGCACACTTTTAAAATGGGAGTAGCGAAACTAACTCAAATGCTAATTAAAGTTATATGAAGATAAAACTAATGTACTTTCTATATTTATTGTGTTGATCTTCCTCATAAGCTATTCTCATTCCTCGTTAACTTGTGATTTGATTCACATTATTATCCTTCATTGATTCTTCTTAGTTTTACTTACAAAGCAAGAAGGTAACTGAAAAAAGAAAGGTGGGATAAAAAGTTAAAAAACTGTATTTGTTATGCGGGCGCAGGATATTGCAGAACACTTAACAACAATACACCTCAAGCGTTGTGATCGCGGGAAACGCTTATATGAAGGGTCAACTCCACCTGTGGGGTTTCCTAATTCATGGGTAATTGCTTCTAAACCCCAACTCTGATAAGTTCCTGATTTTTTTCCTTCCCTCCAAATGCGTGGCGATGCATTTAATAAGGATAGGAAATTAACTTATTTTATCTGAAATAGTGGCAAGTCAAGTTTTGGTGTTACAGTTATGTTTTGTGTTTATGACAGAATGGAGCAAGCTACTGCACATCAGAACTTTCAATTTTGAGAAACAATGAAATTCATGTTTGGGATCGGGGCTATGACGATGACGGGAACCAAGTAAGTTTATCTGCTTTAGGTCCATTGAAATTGGCAATTGTAATTTGTCACAGTAGTGAAGAAAATTTCCTTTTGCTTTTGTCTTCCGTGGCAGGTTTGGGGACCAAAGGATGGCCCTTATGAATACAAGCCCGCACCTGCCTCTAGTAACAATGATATGTTTTCCCCTTTCAGTTTCCCTATTCAACAGTCCACGGAGAAGAGAATCGAGGGCTCATTTGTGTTGCGAGAATGATCATTAGTTTATAATCATGATATGTAAATTGTTTACTGCAATCTTGTCAATTTTGTTTTGTTGATATAGTCCTCGGTGTTAAATAGTTAGCAAGATTTCATAGTTGCTGGTGTTCTAGAAAGTCTATCAGAATTGTTACATGTTAAAGAAAACATCTCTATCATAGGGATTTGTTCATGGTGAGATATAATGAAGTTGGTTTTCGAATGAAAGCTCGACTGTGTAATTATTGCTACATCTTTCTGCACAAAGATGGAAAGAATTGAGGTTATTTCGGCTTTTTTTTTTTTTTTTTTTGGTTGAACTGGGGAGAAGGAGATCCAAATGCTAGACCTTAAAACTGATAGTAGGTGAAGAATTTACAACTAGATTGTTACATTTATTATCTACAAAATTCATAAATCAGTTATGTTGAGATAAATATTGATGCCCTTTAGTAAATTTCAAGAGATGAGTTGCATATGTTGGCAAATGCACTTGGAGCTTTGGTCTACAATAAATGAAATAGAATCATTGACATGGGCTTGTAGTTTAGAACTTAAGTCTCTGATATCAATTGTTGGAACGAGTGTGCAGGGAAATTTTAAAATTTAAATCAATGCCAAAGTTAATCAAGAACATGTTCATGATGTTATATAACATAAATACTAAAGATCTAAATCATACCTTTGGAGATTTAGGAAATAGCACGTCTGACATATCAAAGCGTTCCAAACAGCAACCGGAAGAGCCTTAACCAACTGGTCTTCTTTGTTATTCTTGTTTCCACGATCGGAGTGCGGATGGACACACGTTGTTCAATCTCCTCTTGGTATTCTTGAACTCTTTCCAACCACAAGAGAGCTAAAGGAAAAATCGTTCTTGAGAATTAAAACAATTTTTTCTCTCAGGAATCTTTTGCTAAATAGTCTCCAAAAAGTCTCTCAAGTGATTTAATGAATAATGTGACTTATTGGGCTATTTGTAGTGTTTATGAAGTCATATTTTTGTAACAATTAGGTTTTTCACAGTTTGTCTCACTTACAGAGTCAGTTTCGTCACGTCCGCATGTGCTACACGTTACAACCGGTTGACCGGTGACAGAGACGTGTTATAACTCACTGGTCGATCTGTCCTTCATGAACCGGTCGACATGTCTGAACTAGCAAAATTTGTTTTCCTAGTTTTCCAATGCAAGAAACTTGCACAAAGCCTCAATTTTGATTTAAGCAATCCAATAGAGAAGTTGTCAGATCAAAACAGTCATAATAGTCTTCCCATATTAAATAACTTTTGAAACAATAATTCAACCAATTTATCTAGAATTAATTTATCAATTAATTCACCTGATAAATCACTCATGAATTAATTAACTAGTCTCATATTAACTTTGAACATCATTTACGGAAATAACACAAGTTACCAATATATAAGAAATACACCGTATCGTAATAGGAAATTATGTGAGCTAGCAAAGGGACCCCTTGGACATATATAAATCAGGCTCTTATAATCACAACTCTACTTGTAAACCAACAAGTCTATCTCATGATTATAAAACTCTAGCGCTACTCCACTAAAAGTCTAGAGCTGCACTCTCGATTTATATAGTACATTTACAAAATTTTGATTAGTTCTCGTTCATGACTTAATATATTAATGTATCATCCCCATAGGATATCCATAATTGACTTGAAGTCAAGTTCCGTTTTACCTTCCTGATTGCATTTATCTTATGTTCCACTACTACACCATCAAAAAACTACTATTCATACCATTACAAATAGTAAACCATTAGATAGCATAGAGTAGTCTAATGGCCGAGCGCTCGTATTTTGTAATCCACTGATAATGCATAAGATGATATCATTGACTCTTTGTAGGAGCTATGGATTCCACTATCTATGAATAACTAATCTACGCATATACGAGTCATACCCCCAATGTACCGGTAAGCGTACTTTTACATAATATCAAGATGTCTCCCTTTGATACATTAAAAGATACAAGTCAAGCATACGGATTCATTATCCATCTCAGGATTAAGATGACAACATATAATTCGTCAAAAGTGAATTGTTTTATTCAAACAGAATTATTAATTAAAACAATTCAACTTTGGTCCGACCCAATATAGATTTCACTACTAGAAACTATATCAATGTCTCTAGCCATAGAGTCCCACCTCTGACGACCAAGACAAGTCGTCTTCGTTAAAAAGTAAACAACATAACAATCTTAACATGAATAAAGCGCTCAACTTTATTCCCTCGATTGTGGATCTTATGTTTTAGACTATCATCTTTAGATTCATGTCTTCCGCATGTTCTTCACATTATATACATAACTTAAAGATTTAAAATGATAGTCTCAGACTTTCAGTTTATTTATCATACATTCAACTAATATGAACAAAACAATGACAATGCATAGATATATGAAATAAATAAATCTTTATTAATAGTCAAAATGTCTCAAAGAACATCGTTACATTTATTTCTAAGGGCATAAACGCTAATAAAAAGATGCTACAAAACTATTCCAAAACTTAAAAGATGTTGTTAAGGTAAAAGTATAATCCACCGAGCGCAGCAGCACCAACAACAATCGCGATAGGAAGTGCCTTCCTGTGTCATTCAGAGTTCAGACATGATCATGTTAAGTGTTTTGGATATGGAACCGTGTTCACCAAAAATAAAGAATTGAGTAAATGCTTTACCCGATTGCTTCGTCTCTCTGTATCTGTGCTTTCCGAGCTTTTCGAACATCCTTGTCATTGTCATTTTTGGCCACGGAAGGCTGGTATGATCTAAACCTCCGTTTGGGAGCACCACAAACTGCAGACCACAGGAAACCAACAATCAGTCTTAGCAATTGCAGGCACATACATGATGAGATATATCAATCAAGGTAGGCCCGTGTGTGTTGCATTGTTTTAGCTTTCAAGTGTATTTGATTAGTAATACTAAGGTCCCGTATATTTCACCGATTCGAGTTTAAAATTCGAGTTTTGTTACAGTAAAAAACTCTCATAAACAGTCACATTTAACTTTTTTGCTACAGTAAAAAAACTCACATAAAGTCACATATCAACTTGAATTAGTAAACTAAACAGGTCTTAAAATTCCATACTTCAGAAAGCAAGACCTGTGATTCAAAATTAACAACGTATCACGTGTCAATACTTTATATTTGAATTGATGATTTTTTAGCTTTTGATTTCTGTTTTTCTTTCTACATTTGGTACGAGTAGAACTTCTTTCAAAATCACAATAACACCAAACTGAGATTATATTATATGAACCTTATTTTCAGTAAATACATTAGCTTAACAACAGTCATATTTCAAGAAGATGAATGGTCAACTACTGCAACTGCAGGTGGTAATGTCACAGGTATCGAGAATATGATCAAGACAATCACCACAACAGAGAATTCTATTTTCTTGACCACACGATTGAAACACTAGTATCAAACATATTATATTAGTTGGTTATCGAAAAATTAGTGCCACTAGTGTTATTTTCAAACTCCCCCCGTTCTGTCTAATTTTTAATTGCATCCTTGAAAAAAACCCAATTATTTTACATACAATGCCCGACTTTAAAAATAATAATAATAATAATAATAATAACAACGATTCCACTCATAGTTGAGTTGGAGGAGCATGCGCCCCATTTAAATTTTAAAATTTTCAATTTTTACCCAATTTTTTGAACAAATTTTAGTTGTCTCTATATTATGAGAAAATTCTATTTGTCCCTGCTAATTATTTATTTTTTTAATCCTATTTGTCCCTGCTCATTTATTGAAATGTATAAATATGTCATCATTTAATAAGAAATTATGTCTTTTTTAACAAATTAGCTTAAGTGGAGGTGGTAAATGTCATATATGTCAAGAACATTTAAAGAAAATAAAAATGAGACCGTAGTAACCAACCAAAAAAGATAAGAATAATATACCAGGACAGAAGTATTTGTCAGGCAGCTTCTCAAAAGGAGTTCTTTCATTGTATATATACCTGCCAAAAAAAAAATTTCAAAAATTAAAAAACCATCACCACTTTCTATTCTTTCAAAGAAAGAAAATTATCATCCTTTAATTTGCTAATTTAAATTAAGACATAATTTTATAATTATTTTTTAAAATTTTTTATTTTTATAAAATTTAAATTTAAAATTTAAATCAGTAAAATTAACAAAACCTACTATTTAATTCACAATTTGATCCGCAATTAACAGAACCTACTATTTTATTCAAAAATTAATAAATAAATAAATTTCTGTTGAAACTTTCTATTCAAACGTCGAAAAGAAATACCCGCAGTCGCGGCAAATGTAGGCCTGTTTGGAGGCGACGCGCATGGAGAACCTGGGAGAGGCGGAAACGAGAGGCCGAAGAGAAGAAGCATTCAAGAGCAGATTAAGTGATGAAGAGAAGAAGGAGGAGGAGGAGGACTTGAGAGCAAAGCGGTTGGAGGGTCGTCTCAGGCCGGCATTAGAATTGGGAGGTGGGGCCAAAACTGAGGCTTTTGCTGTAATGGGTGTCTGTATTTGCAACGCCATCATGATGATGATGATGATGATGATGAGTCCTAATTTCCTTTGGAATGAAAACAAGAAGAAGATAAGAGAAAGAAAGTGTTTGTAAGAAGAAGAAGAAGAAGAAGAAGAGTGTAGACTGTAGAAAGAGTTTAGATAGAGTGGGTGGACATACATCGAACGTGGCTTGCACACTCCCCACATAATGAAGCTGAAAGCTCCTCCGTTCCTTTATTTACTTTTTTTTTTTTTTACTCTTTTTTTTTTTTAAAGAAATTACTCATTTGTCAAAATGACGATTTTGTTCCCATAATGAACATATTATGCAAAGAGAGAATAATTGTGTGAAAAGAATTTGAAACAAAAATGAGGATAAATTTTATAAATAACTCTAAACTATGTTGTTTGTGTTAACACGTCTTTTAAATTTTAAAATGTATATGTTGTGCTCTCTGATTTATAAAACATTTTTAGTTTCACTTTCACTCTTCTATTAAAATCCATCTATTTTTTTAATGGAAGAGTATGTGATATGCACATGATCATTTGTCAAAATGACGATTTTTTTCCCATAATGAACATATTATGCAAAGAGAGAATAATTGTGTGAAAAGAATTTGAAACAAAAAAACAGAGGATAAATTTCATAAATAACCATAAACTATGTCACTTATGTTAACATGCTCCTTAAACTTTAAAATGTATATATTGTGCCTCCTAATTTATGAAACGTCTTTAGTTTCACCATTCTATTAAAATCCATCCTTTTTTTTTTTACGGAAGAGTATGTGATAATATATATGCACACAATGAGAGCAAAATTGTCAAATCCTTTTAAACACTAAAGTATATTGAATTAGGGTTCCTCTTTCCCGCTAGGGAAGGAAACTCACCAAAACAAGAAAAAAAACAAAAAACAAAAAACAAAAAAAAAAACTAGCATACACACTCTGTGCTGTGGCATGGAGTCTTATTTGTTGTTTGCTTGTGTGATTGATGATTCGTCGATTTAGACAAAAACAAGACCCTATGACATAAATTCTTTTTTTTTTTTTTATTGAGGTGCTATGAAAAACTAAAGTAAAGGTCAAAATGGGGCACAATTAAAATGTTCTTATAAAAATGACCACTATTAAAATTTTTGAATGAATAAATTAAAGTCTCGTTCTTTCCATTCGTTCAAATTGAGAATTTGAGTTAAAAGTGAATTCATGTGAGATAAAACACCAGAACAGAAAAAACTAAATTTGAGTTTTTGTAATAAAAAATATTGTAACAAAACTTGAGTTGTAATTTGAACGAGCAAAATGTAAAACTTCAAAAATTAATATGTGACTCCACTCTAGCATCGCGTGGCTCTTCTACTACCGTCAAGCTTTCTCTTATAAATCACTTTGCTTGCTTTTATGTTTCTATTGTAAGGATCAAGTAAACAATGAGTGCGTTTGGAATTGGTTTCAAAATGATTTTATTTTCAATAAAAAGTAAAAATGAGATTGTCTTGAGAATCATTATGAGACCGATTCTAAAATTGCGTTTGGTTGATTTTTTAAGAAATTATTTGAGTATAATAAAAAAGTAAAATCGTATTTATTAATTAATATATTATAATATTATTGATAAGTAAATGAAAATAGAAAAACGAAAATAATTTTTAATTTTTTTCTAATTCCTTCACAAAAATCATTTTTACTGTTTTCATTTTTAAAATAATTTACTAAACAAACGTCGTTTCCTTTTCATTTTTATTTTTTCTTTTCAAAATACGTAAAAATTATTTTTAACACAATGTGTGTAGTCATGCATCAACGATAGCTCAACGCATCAGGATTAAGCATAGGACAATAAAGACCCGCCAAGAAGATGTGAAATAGGAGGGAAAAAAAAAATAGATCGATTCTAAACTTAGCGTCGGATTACATAATCACATTAATCTCTGGAAATAGGAAACAAGAAATGCTTCCACCAAGAGATTTTACACCGACCCTTCAGATAAAACTATCAACCGACACAGGCAAAACTACAATAAAAATACATGAATAAAGGAGACACATGAGGCTGCAAAAGGGAGTACATATCAAATCTGTTGATTTTGGAAGGATCAAAATTTACACTTCAATGACTAATAGAAATTATATTACAACAAACTCTTCTAAGCTTTGCAATCCTGGAACTAAGGCAAAGAATGTGGGAGTTCCTACAATCCCAAGAACATAAAAGGCAATGGCTTCTACCAAGGTTTCAAGTCACCCACAGGCCCTGCAGTCCAGTTCAGGATTTTCTCCCCCGGCTTCAAGAAAACGCTCGAGTCATGTGGCAACTTTCTCGCAAGTCCATTCAGAACTTGATGGAACGCGTCGCGTGGCTGAGCAGGGTAAGGGAATAACATTGCTTGCTTCATTGAAGGGTTAGCGAGCAATCTCTGTTTCCTTAATATAAGATCCAGTGGGATTGAAGTGAGTATGGTATCCAAGTTGGGCACATCCTTTTCATCCACAAACACCCCAATTTCCTCCCAGGGAATTGCATCGGCAAAGGGTAGAACAATGTCATCTGCTATGATAACGGGAATGCAACCGAAAATCACAGCTTCGACTAATCTCGGGCTCCACGGAGCCCAGCCAAGCGGGCACAAACAAAAGACTGCCCGTTGCATGTCCTCATAGTAAGTGGTTGGGTGCTCTGTGGAAATGTCGAATAAAGGATTATCCTTGAAGTTCTCCCATACTGCTGCCCGTGCACCTCTAGGAAATTGTAAACAAAGTTAGACTTAGGATCTCTTTGACAAATATATTTCAAGTTTAAGAACATCTAACAAAGTATGGCAGGCAGAAACCATTTACTTTTTTCTCCTAACTTTTGGTCAGTTGGGTTAGTTTGGTGGTTTGAAACTTCAATAACTGCCATCTAACCCAATTAAGAAAAAGACTTCCCAGCCGACCAAATTAAACCAATTCTTGAAAACCAATCAGTTTGATTTAGTTTAACTCATTTTTGTAATTTGATCGTTTCACCCTAGTACAAACAATTAAAAAGCTTGTAATAAACTATCTCTGATCCTGCTGTAACCTAAGTTCTGGTTTTAGGTTTGGTAATAAGAATTACCTGGCATAGTAACCACCTTCTGGGTCATTTCCAACATCATAAAACAAGCCCCGGAAGTAGACAAAAATGGACCTAGGAGTTTTCTCAGGAATCAAATGCGTTTGCATTTTCTGCGGAGGTGCATAAGGGGGAATAGTAATCGAGCCCTCTTTCAAGCAAACATGATTCCGTTGCCCAAAAGTTTGAACCAAGGTAGCACGTTGAAGTAAGGAAAGAATTCCTCTTTCGATTGCCTTCTCCTCCTGCAACAATATCCGTGAATAAGCAACATTAATATCACTCAACCACATAACTATAACAACAAAAAACAAACAACACCTTATTATTACATTCAACATATTAGATACATCAACAAAGATTAAATGTCTAAACCCTAAGGATCAAAGCCAACTAGTTGAAATACACATTGGCCATTAAATAAGGATAAAAGAAAACGTAAAAGAAGGATAGAAACACAGCTTCTCACTTGATAATGGAAGCATGCTCCAAAGTCATGAGGAACCACAAAAAAGTGATCAGCCCCTTCAGTCCGATTCCAATAAGGCCAGTTTGATGAAATAAGTTGAATTGCACTTCTCATCATTCGCGGCGACTTGAATGGCAATGGGAGACCATTTGGTGTGAGGTCACAAGTGGTGTATACCGGGGTGTAAAACCAATCAGCTTCTTCCGGATTAAGGGTTCGAACAGGACTGGATAAGAGAAACCGATGCATGAAAATTTCGGCCGCAAACATGTGGGTGAGGCATCTGGGGTCCTTCTGCAAAATCTTCTTGTTGTATTTGCTCGGAAGTTCATACACGAAAACTTTCAATCTTCCAACTGGATCATCCTCCAAGACATCACCAGCACTACCTAAATTCATTGAAATTGCATACTTAGAGCCAGTTTGGTATTGCTTTACAATCCTTAAACGATACAAGTAACGTGTTTTGTAAAAGTGCACAAAAGCACTTTGCATAGTCATGAACGCACTAATTAAATTCTTTTACTTGGAATTTTCTTCAACTTCTACTTTTTCTAAGCCAAATTAGTGGTTTCAAAGCTGAGCCTTAAAGTCCTATATTCAACTTCACCACAGATCATAAGTTTCAATAGCTTCCAAGTACAGAAAGTTAGAATTCAGTTACAGCAACAATATCAGATGGAAAATGACTTAATTTATAAAACTACAAAAATGGTTAGTTCAATTTCTTTTTATTGTTGCAAAATATTTGATAACTATAACAACTTCATCTGATAGGATAGCTACTTTAACTTTCAAGTAAATCATGAACAAATATATAAGAGCCATAATTTGCTCAAAATATTACATAAGCCATGGTACACGACAGCAAATTTTAGCAAAGCAGATCATTTATGCAATTAAAGTTTCGATCTTGATTAGCCGATCCAGCGACAATGGAAACGATTAAGCCCTCAACTAATCAAATCCCAAAAAATCCACATTAATTAAGACAATGACCAGAAAAAAATGAAAATAAAAATGAACACGAAAACTGAGAAACCCAAAAAGAAGCCAAAAGAAGGAAATCCAAAATCGCACCTGAAATTCTCTCCGTGGGTTGTGTTCTTCGGCGGCCCCAAGCGGCAATCTCCGAGACCAAGGAAGAACAAAGAAGCCCCAAAAGAACCAACTTGAGAACACCCATTTTCTTTAACTGTAAATCCACAAAGGAAAAAAAAACAAAAAACAAAAAAACAAACAGCGGGTTTTTTCAAATCAAGAGTGGAAATGGGCAAATGGGTTTTTCAGGATTCTGCTCGTGGATCATATTATTGAGCAGATCGAGGAGAGAGAGAGATGGGTGGGTGAAGTTGGTTTTGGTGGGTATTGAAAAAGAGCTTCTTCTTCTTCTTCTTCTTGTGTAGTCTGAGTTGGTTGCGTTGAGGAAGAAGCTTCAAGGCAACAAACCCACCTGGTCAAACCACTTTTGTTTTGAGCCTAGTTTGTTTTGGAGATTTGAATTTTTTATTTTAGTTGATATGTATTATTTTATTAGAGTTTTTAATTATAATCAAAAAATTTAAATATAATATTTTTTAAAAAATTTTAATTAATAAAAAAAATATACGTGACATTTTTTAAAAAAATTTTTAAAATTTTTAATTATAAAAATTTAAAATTTAAATCGATAAAATAAACATAATTATAATTTTATGCTTATTCATCTCAAAAAAAAATTATATAGAGCCAATTGACATAAAATTACAATAACTTAAAGTTCAAATTACATTTATAAAATTATAAATAATGTCACGCCATTATTTTTACTGATCATGTCATGTTATCATTTAATTATTATTCTAGACCTATCTCAATAAAAAGAGGGTTTTGAACAATTTTTATGTCTATAGCCCTTTCAAAGTTAGGGGACAATTGAACCAAAATATCATTTAATTTTTTTTTTTAAGTAGAAGTCTCTCCGAATTAAATTTTGATAGAATTCAAAAAATATCCCTTAGTTTTATCAAAATACCCAAATGCTCTCTAAGTCTTAACTAAATTAAAAATGTTTTCGTTTTTCTGCTAGGTTTAACAAACCTTTTAACTGCTCCCTTAGCAAAACTAAAAGTAAAAGAACCAGTCTTTTTTTGAGATGTCCAAAATGCCCTCAATAATACGGTATTATTCAAACTTTTAAGTAATTTAAATTTAAATGAGATATTTTTAAATATTTTATTTTTTGAATATTAAAAACATATCTAAAAAGCATTTTAAAATTATTGACTTTTGGTTATAATTAATAATTAAAAGAGTAAAAATGGCGATTTTAAGACTCCAAGATACAAAAATATTATTTTTTAAACATCAAGATACCTTTTTAACATTACTAAAAAAAATATACAACACTAAAGTTATTTTTTTCGTAGAACATATAGTATTAAAATGATTTTTCATATTTTTTTAGAGGAGAATATAGTAAATAGTATATTTATAAAATTAAATTACGTAAATAACAAATTTTAGAATTATTTAAAATAAATAGTAATTTACATAGTAAATGAGTTATTTACGGTGTAAATAGTTCATTTACGGCTTGTAAGAATATTTTTTCACGTAAATTTTCTTTTTACAACTAGTTAAAAGTTTTTTCCCACGTAAAATTTTTTTTAAGATTTTTTTAAGATGCAATTTATCGTTTACCACACATAAATGAATCATTTACTATTAAACTCGATTTACTTCAAATAATTTTAAAAATCTACTATTTACTTAATTATTTTTAAAAATATGCTATTTACTATAATTTTTTTAGATCCTTTATGGTGCAACCTGTACTTTGCTTCACCGATAGAGCACACTATTTTTATCACCATTCGATTGTAAATTGATAGTGAAAGATGATAGTGGCTTAGTTTGGTAATGCTGTGAATTTTAAAAAAAGTGCTTTTAGCTGTGCTGAAAAAAAAAACAGCTGTTCTAAGAAGTAGCCTAGTGTTTGGTAAATTGTAATTATAGTAGCTGTACTGGTTCTAAAATCAATAAATAGCGTTTGGTAAATTTTTAAGTAGAATTGCTGTAGGTATGTAAAATGACCAAAATAGACATGATATAAAATTTAAATATATATAATTATTTTTTATATTTAAAAATACTTGTTTAACTTTAAAAACACATAATGTTTTGATTTTAAATTTTTTAACAATAAATTTATGATAATTAATTCTCTTTTTTTTTTTCATTTCTTCATTCACAATATAATTACAACTAAAAGAAGCATTAGTGACAATTACTCAGGGACAGTTGTAGTCTTCGGGTTGTGGAATTGTTTTTGACATAGAACTTTGCCTTCTTAAAAATATCAATTGGCCCTATCGCCTTTTCCTAAAAAATTATACCATTCTATTCCATCCACAGAGACCAAAGTATAAAGGCTCACAAGGATAAAAAAAACCAACTGAAAAGAAAACGTGTAACTGAATGAATGAATATATGCAACCACTTTTACATTTGTCCGTGAGTAGAAAAAAAATCAGAATGTAAGGTACATAAAAATCAAAAAAATCATCATCATCATCCACAAGTGCTATCCGTTGTTGTGATGCAGAAAATGATCCATCATACACAATAATCCTCTGAAAAAACTAAACAAAGTACAAACATAAAGAAAACAAAGACTAACCAGTATGGCATCATTTGATTCCATACGACCAAAATCCTTGACAACTGAGGTGATAGTTTGAATTGCGTGATACATTGTATAATTAAGTTAAAAGCAAGGAATCACAATGAGCAAGAATGTGGGATGATGCTACAATAAAACGGCTCGTCATCGTTCTACTTGGTTATCGGACGGCGGCGACTCCACGACTGGAGGTATGCAA